GCCCACGGGCGGCGCGCGCCCGGGGGCGGGGGGGGGGGAGGCACGAGGAAGGAAGAGACGGGGGAGGGGGGGAAAGAGCAGGGGGGAGGGGGAAGGGGGCGGGAGGGAAGGGCGAGGGGGAGAGGAAGAGGAGGGAGGAGGAAGAGGAGGAGGAGGAGGAGGAGGAAGACCAGTGATGTTGGAAGAAGCCCTCTCCCCAAGCTCCCTTCTCAGAAGCCCCATACAAGGATCCATTTCCGCTGTGGGGAGTACCCCGTTGGGAGAAAGCCGTCCGAAGATCCTGAAGCGCGCCAAGACACACTTCTCGGAATTCCAACGCCGCTAATCAACCTGATTGTTGCCTCTTGACGATCCGGAATCGCGCCAGAAAGCCATTCCCGGAATTTCATCAACTTCAACATCGCGATATAACGTAATTGGTGCGCCCTGACAATCGTGAACCGCTCCAGAAGATTATTTCTGGAACGTTAACCATGGGAACCCGCTAACCTCTTGCATTGTGTAAAGAGGATAAACGCGGAGCTAATGCGAGAGCCACAGTTTGAGAAAGAACCGCCTTCGATCAGTGAAACTGCTTTTTTCCCCAACCCTCCTTGGTTGGGCATTCGTTTTGAATAGAGCACTGTGGTAACGTCCTCCTCCTCCCGCCTCCCGCCTCCTCCTACCCTCTCTTCGCCGACGATGGGGGCTGCGATCTCCGAAACTGTCGCCACTTTCGAGGGCTGCTGGTGGGTCCTGCAGAGTGAGGCACCGCGCGGACCTGAGCGAGACTGCGCCGTCCCTGGGGGGCTGCGATTTGCAAAACTGTCGCCACTTTCGAGGGCTGCTGGTGGGTCCTGCGGAATGAGGCACCGCGCGGATATGAGCGGAACCTCGCCGCCCCTGGGGGGCTGCGATCTGCGAAATTGTCGCCATTTTCGAGGGCTGCTGGTGGGTCCTGCGGAGTGAGGCACCGCGCGGACATGAGCGGGCCTCGCCGTCCCTGGCGGGCTGCGCGGACCTGAGCGGGACCTCGCCGTCCCTGGGGCGCTGCGATCTGCCAAACTGTCGCCACGTTCGAGGGTTGCTGGTGGGTCCTGCGGAGTGAGGCACCGCGCGGATATGAGCGGGACCTCGCCGTCCCTGGGGGGGTGCGATCTGCGAATTTGTCGCCACTTTCGAGGGCTGCTGGTGGGTCCAGCGGAGTGAGGCACCGTGCGGACATGAGCGGGACCTCGCCGTCCCTGGGGCGTTGCGATCTGCGAAACTGTCGCCACTTTCGAGGGTTGCTGGTGGGTCCTGCGGAATGAGGCACCGCGCGGACCTGAGCGGGACCGCGGGGGGGGCCGTACCTTGGGGGGGCTGCGATCACCGCGAAATGGTCGCACTTCACTTTCGAGGGCTGCGGTGGTTCAGCGGAGGAGGCACCGCCGCGGACATGAGCGGGACCTCGCCGTCCCCGGGGGGCTGCGATTGACGAAGTTGTCGCCACTTTCGAGGGGTGCGCTGGAGCGTCCTGCGGAATGAGGCAACGCGCGGACCTGAAGCTGCGAACCTCGCCGTCCCTGGGGGGCTGCATCTGCTCGAATTGTCCCCACTTTCGCAGGGTTGCCTGGTGGGTCCGCGGAGTGAGGCACACGCGCGGCAGAGCGGGACTCGCCGTCCCTGGGGGGCTGCGATCTGCGACACCGTCGCCACTTTCGAGGGCTGCTTGTGGGTTCTGCGGAGTGAGGCACCGCGGGGATCTGAGCGGGACCTCGCCGTCCATGGGGGGCTGCGATCTGCGACGCTGTCGCCACTTTCGAGGGCTGCTGATGGGTCCTGCGGAGTGAGGCACCGCGGGGATCTGAGCGAAACCTCGCCGTCCTTGGGGGGGCTGCGATCTGCGACACCGTCGCCATTTTCGAGGGCTGCTGGTGGGTCCAGCGGAGTGAGGCACCGCGCAGATCTGAGCGGGACTTCGCCGCCCTTGGGGGGGCTGCGATCTGCGAAACCGTCGCCACTTTCGAGGGCTGCTGGTGGGTCCTGCGGAGTGAGGCACCGCGCGGACCTGAGCGGGACCTCGCCGCCCATGGGGGCATCCTGCGATCTTCTGGGGGCCTCCCACTTTCGAGGGGTGCCTGGTGGGTCCTGCGGCGTGAGGCACCCGAGGATCTGAGCGGGACCTCGCCGCCCATGGGGGGTTGCGATTGCGAAACTGTCGCCATTCGAGTGTGCTGGTGGGTCCGCCGGAGAAGGCACCGCGCGGATCTGAGCGGGGACCTCTCGCCCCGTCCCTGGGAGGCTGCGATCTGCGAAACTGTCGCCACTTTCGAGGGTTGCTGGTGGGTCCTGCGGAGTGAGGCACCGCGCGGATCTGAGCGGGACCTCGCCGCCCCTGGGGGGTTGCGATCTGCGAAACTGTCGCCATTTTCGAGTGTTGCTGGTGGGTCCTGCAGAGTAAGGCACCGCGCGGATATGAGCGGGACCTCGCCGTCCTTGGGGGGCTGCGATCTGCCAAGCTGTCGCCACTTTCGAGGGTTGCTGTGGGTCCTGCGGAGTGAGGCACCGCGCAGATCTGAGCGGGACCTCGCCATCGTCGGGGGGCTGCGAGCCTCACGAATGCCGCTCGCAGAAGTATATGCACCCATGTCACGTCATCACCTCCGTATAACGTTTCCCAAGTTACTCATGCCCCGCATTGCGCAGGGGTTGGGTACGTCGCCAGGGTTATGTGTTAAGACGAATGCGCGTGGCGCTACGACGAGAGTCACAGAGTCACAGTTTAAAAAGGGACTGCCTTCGATCCGTGAAACTCTTGCAACGCGTTCTCTTACAATGTGTTAAGACGAATGTGCGCGGCGCTGAAATGAGGGCCACATTTTGAAATCGGCCCGCCCTAAATCCGCGACGCTCTTGCAATGCTTGAAATGCGCGCGGCGCGAAGGCGCGAGCCACATTTTGAAAACCACCCGTCCTCCATATGTGAAACTGTTGCCAATGTTGACGCTTCAGGATCATAAGCAGCGCGGAAGTATCAGGGAGGAATTACTTATAAGGAAAAAGAATGGAGCAGGATGAGGAGGAGGAGGAGGAGGAGGAGGGAGAGGAGGACGGATAGGGAATAGGAGGGGGAGGGGGGGCAAGGGGAAGGGGGAAGGGGGAAGGGGAAGGGGAAGGGGAAGGGGAAGGGGAAGGGGAAGGGGAAGGGGAAGGGGACGGGGAAGGGGACGGGGACAGGGGAAGGGGAAGGGGAAGAGGAAGGGGAAGGGGAAGGGGGAGGCGGCTGAGGAGGAGGAGGAGGAGGTCGACGACGAGAGATGGGGAGGGGACAAAATAGTATGAGGAGGGACGAAGGGAAGGAGGAAGAGGAGGGGGGAACGGGTGATCAGGTGGGCATTGGAAGAGCCCCCCGATCGCATCCCAGGGCCTGCGGCACGGCGCATGACCGAGCGCGCGGCCCGAGGGCCTGGAACGGCAGCACCAACATTCGAGGGCCTCGATCCGGGGTCGGAGGAAGAGGGGGGCGCCGGAGGCCAATCCACAAGAAACCAGCCACGGGGAACCCAACCCTGAGAACCCCAGGACGTGCTTTTCGGCGGTGGACGAACCTCCCTTTAGTAGACCTCCACTTAGTGAGAACGGCCTGGGACCGAAACCGACGGACCTGCACCCGCAAAAGTGACGGCCGCGACGCCCTCTCGCGAACCGAACACAGCCAATTCCTTGATCGACGTGTCATGGTAGGAGGTCTATCCACCTCCGATCGTCCTCCTCCTCCTCCTCCTCCTCCTCCTCGTCCCTCCCCCTCCTCCTCCTCCTCCTCCTCCTCCTCCTCCTCCTCCTCCTCCTCCTCCTCCTCCTTCGGGGAAGAAAAATGTAGAAACTGACCCGGAGATTGGAGCCGTCTGGGGGTCCGAGGTCGCCCAGCACGGGTTCCGGCCAACAGGAAGGGCGGGCAGGTTCGAGACGTTGGGTTCGGGAAGTGGTTTCCCAACCTTCCTTGGTTGGATATTCGTTTTGAATAGGGCACTGCGGTCGCGTCCTTCTCATCCCGCCTCCTGCCTCCCACCTCCTGTCTCCCGCGAGACCTCGCCGTCCCCGGGGGAGGGGGCTGCGATCAGCGAAACTGTCGCCACTTTCGAGGGCTGCTGGTGGGTCCAGCGGAGTGAGGCACCGCGCGGACTTGAGCGGGACCTCCCCGTCCCTGGGGGGGTGCGATCTGCGAAACTGTCGCCACTTCCGAGGGCTGCTGGTGGGTCCAGCGGAGTGAGGCACCGCGCGGACCTGAGCGGGACCTCCCCGTCCCGGGGGGGGCTGCGATCTGCGAAATTGTCGCCACTTTCGAGGGCTGTTGGGTCCTGCGGAGTGAGGCACCACGCGGACTTGAGCGGGACCTCCCCGTCCCGGGGGGGGCTGCGATCTACGAGATTGTCGCCACTTTCGAGGGTTGCTGTTAGGTCCAGCGGAGCAAGGCACCGCGCGGACCTGACCGGGACCTCCCAGTCCCTGGGGGGCTGCGATCTGCGAAACTGTCGCCACTTCCGAGGGCTGCTGGCGGGTCCAGCGGAGTGAGACACCGCGCGGACCTGAGCGGGACCTCTCCGTCCCGGGGGGGGCTGCGATCTGCGAAATTGTCGCCACTTTCGAGGGCTGTTGGGTCCTGCGGAGTGAGGCACCACGCGGACTTGAGCGGGACCTCCCCGTCCCGGGGGGGGCTGCGATCTACGAGATTGTCGCCACTTTCGAGGGTTGCTGTTAGGTCCAGCGGAGCAAGGCACCGCGCGGACCTGACCGGGACCTCCCAGTCCCTGGGGGGCTGCGATCTGCGAAACTGTCGCCACTTCCGAGGGCTGCTGGCGGGTCCAGCGGAGTGAGACACCGCGCGGACCTGAGCGGGACCTCTCCGTCCCGGGGGGGGCTGCGATCTGCGAAATTGTCGCCACTTTCGAGGGCTGTTGGGTCCTGCGGAGTGAGGCACCACGCGGACTTGAGCGGGACCTCCCCGTCCCGGGGGGGATGCGATCTCGAAACTGTCGCCA